CATCACTGATTGCCTTTGGTCAGCACCCTGAAGCCCAGTTTATGAACCAAGTGTGACACACAGGGACTGCAGTGTTACTTGGAGCTTGTGAAAACAAGTAGAGCAACATTCAGACTCCCATCTCTGCCAGCATAAGATGCGAGGTTCACAGGCACTCTGGGAGGAAGACATAAATAATAAATGAGCTAAATAATGAAGACTAGCTGTACCTAATTATAGTTCTAGCTGCCCTTTTGAATAAAGAAAGTTCAAAGCTGCTGCAAAAAGATGCTGATCCCTTTTTTGAATGGTGTTTGAACTTCACAGATGATTAATATGAGAAAGTCAGGAGATGCCAATGGAAGTCACACCAGCCTTCAATAGCCTTGCTGAAGAGAGAAGCAGTGTCTCTTACAGCTGTTTATTTACACATCAAAACATTCTTAAGCTTAAATTAATATTTAGCCTGAGTACAGAAGCAATGTAAGAATTATAATTAAATTGTGTAGACTATTTGGAAGCTGTTTTTCCTTACAGCTTTTGGTACCTGACTTGGGAGACTAAATTCAGAAAGTAGCTCTTCAGGCTCTGTATGCAGTCAGGAGAGAGTCAGTTAACTACAGAAGGAGCGCAAGTTCCTGGCCTGGACATTTAAGTGTCTAATGCTAAGTGTGTGAATGCATTTACCTCATCATCCCTCTCTGTTAATAGTTTAATTGAGAAAGATTTGCTCCTAGTGCCCTTCCCATGCTGCAAACCAGGGATTATGAATGCCTGATCACTGGGAACTGAATTTCTCTCAGACTAGGGGAAAAACATGGTGTGTGGAATAGGATGCCAGGTTATAGGTCAGTGGACTGGTGTTATTTTCCAGCTCTTGGTGACTTCTTGTGACTAACCGAGGGTCAGTATACATTGGCCTCACATTCTCCTCTTGTAAAATAAATACAATAATTACTAATCAAATTCTAAAAGAGGTCTTAATCTTTGGATAACGAAGTCTTAATTCTATACCAACTATGATTATTTCATTCCCAGCACAAATACCTATCCGTATGGGTGCATTTAAGTTATTGTTACGTATTTCTAAATAATGTGAGTAGTAGAAATAAAGGACAGTTTAAGTTAAGATTCTTGCTTAACTTTAAGTGCATTTCCACTTTCATACATCATATTAAATGCACTTCCACATAAAGGTGAAATTTAAACTGCTACAGCATATTGAAACAACTGCATTTGTAGACAGTACAAATCTAATCACGGGTCTTATAAAATTGTACAATGCCTCTGTGCAAATAGTAAACACCATTAAGATGTATTTCATCATCCCTTATTCTGTCAATGGCAAAAAGTTTCATATTACTGTATAGGCTTTCTCGTTAGACCTCAGTAACACTAAAGCAACACCTAGCAACATGAGCAATGTGTAGGCATGTTGCATAAAGTGTAGTGTGTTGTAAAAGAAGTATACAGTAAAGAAAAAACATACCATGTGTTGCTAATCTGTAATACCAACTGTATAGAGAACAGACTATATCATGAAGGAATGCCAACAAGTCATCTTTTAACTTAAGCACAGATTACTTTTATATTTGCACATATATCATACTTCATGATATAAGACAAAATAACTGGCTAAACCATCTATGAATATTTTACTGAGTTCACGTCTCCACAGCTAAAGCAAAACTTTCATTCATTCATTCATTCATTGGGTATTGTATAAAGGATGCCGAGGTTACAGGCATTTCATTTGTGTTAGCTACACAATATAAGCCATATTGAGCCTATTCTCATTGTCATTCTCCAGAGTTTACTGCTACCATTTGCTTCAAGAAAACTGTAGAATAGAGATGGAAATTTATTGTCTCTAGTACTCAAGCTGTGGAAGCAAAACGGTCATCAACAAAAGAACTGAAATAGATTTGTTGTATTCAATGTGCTGTGAAAGTTCGTATCTCACAAAACAGTAGGCCTCATTCTCGAATGAGGAAAATCAGTTCAGTTTGGTGGAGCTACACCACTTTCCACCAGCACAGACGACGTGGCCAGTTACCTGTGGCAGTGTCACGCTCTGCCTTTATAAATGTCTTTTCAGGTGCACTGACACCTACTACACCTTCCAGGTTTCTCGGGCATAGTAAGGACTATTATCATCCCAGACAGCCTCCCCCTACAGCAGTGTTCCCCGGTGTTCACTTCTGGTTTAGTTCTTAATTGTTATTCAGCACTGTGGCCAAGTAATTGTGGGTTGGTTTTTCACCCATGTGCCTTCTCATTTTCTTTCCAGTCTCTATCCTTCTGCAGAAGTGGTTCCGTGTACAACCTCAACACTACACACACAGTCATCTTTTGCTGGAAGAATTCCTTCTGTGATGCTAATAAATACCCATTTGAATATTTACAGTTCTCAGGTGAGCATGTTAAAGAAGCAGGCAGTTTACTGCCTGCTTTATCTCTACTTTGCTTACAGAAATGGGTCTCAGATCATACTTTACGCTAATTCTGCTCTGTAGTATATATGAATTTTTGATTAATTAAATCCAATCTATCATAAGGATAGCAACACTTTTTCATCTGAAATAGTTCTGGGTATATAATAACTTTTTGTACAGTGTTGCAATGTGAAGATGGCAACTGAGAATGTTGTGGGGTTTTAAATGTTTATAGGTCTTAATTATTTAATATGATCTCTTCTGTTTGTCCCCTGTGTTTTCACACTTCCTAAAAATAGATGACTGTACTGGTTAAATACGAACATACTAATGTACAATGCTGAGGTTTCAGAAAGAAATAGCCTTTTCTTTTTCTTTTTTACATAGTTGACAGCAGAGCTGCTTGAAGGTGTTTTAATGTGATAACAAGCCGTGATACCATTTGGTAGTATTTATGTTCTCTCCAGGTGACCTGTTTTCAGAAAAATCTCTTCAAATGGCTTGCCAACATTCACAGTCCCTACACAGCAAATTACTTACTATTTGTATTAATTAATGTTAGAGCATGTATCATAAAATAATTAAAATTGAATATTTTCAAGTATGATTGGTTAATATTACTTGTAGTGCTGTGGCTGGAAGTACCGCTTTTGAATGTCACAAAATATATAGCAAATGTCTGTACACGAATAATGGATTGAAGATAAATGAAAGCTGATTTGTTTATCTTTGTATTTCAAGATGGAGAGCAATGTAACAGTCATTAAATATCCCTAACATGCTTCCATTTAAAACAAAATCCTGAAAGCAACTATTTGGCATAACGCATACTAATAAAGAAATACAATGACACAGTAAATAATTATTTGATTGAAAGAATAATTGTCTAGCCTACATTTGCAGAAACAATAGTATTCTCCATCTCTCCCTTACCAGCCCATGCAATTAGAGCTTGTGAGGCTGATGGGGACAGGGTGCGAGGTTACAGCCCATTTCTCACCCACCTGTGCACACCCACCCGGTTGGAGACGTAGGCACAATGATATCATCTGCTGCATTTCCAGACCCTTGTCAAAAGAGTAGACACAGGGAGTCTTGTGCTCCTTAATGCAGCTTCCCTTTCTGTTGGGTCACACTGGAAAAGGGCTTGTCTGAAACCATCATGGTCCCTAAAAGACCCTCTTAGGTATCACTGGTCGTGTGAGCAGTTGTACGTACGCACATGCTTCGCGGTGCTGCACCGGGCCCTGCATGGGCAGGACTTTAGCCCTTCAGTGCAGTGCGTGTAGCAGGCAGAACACACAACACAACCAGCAAGTCTGCACATCACTGCTGGGCTCCCATTCCAGGTCACAGTGTCTCCAATTTATTTTTTTAGTATTGTCTGATGAATAGACTGAATTACAAATGCTCCCAAATGCTTTCTTTTTTTCCTTTTTCCATTTATGAAGTCCAAGTGAAAAATGCGTATTGGGTTAACATATAACTAATAAATTACTGTGATTATATATTTTACAGTATAAAAATTAATGTTTATTAATTCATCTGCACAGGAACAGACCCTGAATCTAATCATACATGACCTTTGCTATTCTTAGACTGTACACCTAGGGCAGATTTTCAACAGGATATAAAAATTTGGCTTAGCAAAGGAATCTCTAATCTGTGCTTGAACATTGCTGCACTATTATACTTGCTCTGCTTTAGGCAGCCTTTTAAGTGTTTTAAAAATTAATCTCATGGTAGTATACAAGCACAGAATGAGGTTTATAAGCAACTAAATAATTAGTGAACACGAATCAATAAAAATATCAAATACTCGTAGCAGCACTTAAATTACAAGTGCTGATAGTAGCTCTCAGCATTGAGGAAATGAAAAACAAGAGCAGGAAGACAACTGACTATAGTAAACCCAAATGTAAAGAGCAGTCATCTAACCAGAGAGCTAGTATCACATCCCACCTGATCTGTGCAAATGAAAATTATTCTGTTGAAAGGACATTAATTACAGTAAGAGTTGCCAAATTTGTATGTGCATATATATGTATGTCTGTACGTGTATACACAATCATCTGAAACAGTAGCAAGTATCTTAAATTGTCCTAATATGTCCTATCTGTTGAGATGTACTGGGTCTCTTGTCTCGCCATACACACAGGTTTCTTTACAGGAGCCCTCCAGGTGCAACTACACAGGCACAGCCACTGTGGCTTCTGTCTAACCTGGCCTTTTGTCCCAACAAGTGCCCTTATGGACCATTTTGTCAGTACAAATCCATAATGTAGTCGCTTTTAATAAAATTCTGTTTGCTCTAGTGTTGTTAATCCTGTCTTTTTGAATGCTTATGTGAAGTAAAAAAAGGGTCTTTCAAAGTAAATAGGCAGATGAAAAATAAGTTAACATTTTGAATGAAGGAAAACACTGCAAGGAAGGCTGAATTTTTGTTTTATCATGTATTTACTAAAAGTACTTGATACTCATAGAATCAATTAGCAGATCACTGCAAATTTTGCAAAAGCAAAATGTATGTGGATAGATTTTCACTGCACACTGCAGGAATAAGGCCACATCACCGGGAGGGTGGACATGAGGGTAAGGAGTACAGAGATGACTCCTCAGAGAGAAGGAAGATATGGTAAGAGATGCTGGAACATCAGCTGATGCTTTGCAAATCTCCAATGCTGTGAGGACTCGTTGGTGTACAATCCTTTTTAGCTGCTATTTGCAAACTGTGAATTTATTTTACAGTGAATAAGGTACATTTGCATTCCTCATCACATAAGGCGTCTGCACAAGGATGGATCTGTGACCCATGTTTCTAACAACCTGTTGCATCCAAGGAAGAGCCTGTTACTCATGTCTTCTTCATTTCCAGTATTTGCACTGTATTAAACAAATTATACTGTAAAATGAGAACATTTATCGAAGACCAAGAAGAAAAACGTTTAGTCTTGTTTTTTCTGACCAAGAGAGGTCATAGATGGAAGCACTTCAGACATTAAATACCCCAATCAACAAAACCGGGTAGAAAGGAGGAAACCGAAGGACCAAAAAAAACCCTCACCAGTGTCTGCAATTTCCCGCTATTTATTATAGATCCTTGCTGCCAAAGGGATTTGTGTTTGGTTTTTTGTTTTTTTTTCACGCAGATGTCTTGTCACCAAAGGTTAAAATTCACGGAATATTTTCCCACAGACCTTGTGTTTTGCTTCCGTTGTTTTGACACAAACCTTCCACGTCTGGCGGGACGGGAATTCAACATCTGCAGGAGGGACAGCCTGCCTCACTCCCCCTTGCAGGGCAGGCAGCCGGGACACGGGCTAGCGGAGTAACGGGACCGGCAGCCCGCTCGTCCCGCGCCCGGGGCCGTCCCAGGGGCAG